CGCTCTTCCTGGTGGAATGATCCAGAAGGCTCTGCAGGGCACAGGCATTCCAATTGGCCTGGCAGAGGGCCGAGGGTCTTGCTGGGCTGCTTGCTTCCCGAACATCAGCCCATTGGTCCGTCTTGGCCATAGGAGAGCGAACTGCTGCGTTTCAAAGCCTTTGTCCTCTTTGGGAAGCTGGCAAAGGTGGTCGGGATTTCCAAGAAACATTTCTTCAGAGGGGAAGTGAAGAAAGCCTGGATCCCCCTCATGCTGCACTGTCAGGATCCCTGCTCCCACGCAGCCCAAGTAAGACGTGCCCCAAGCCCCGGACCTGCTGTCCCAGAAGGGAGATGTCCTTCAGCTTCTCACGTCTCCCAGCCTCCCTCGGTCTTGGTCTCCCTTGGTCTTTTCTGAGAGTCCTGAGGCCGCAGTCTGCTGGGCTGGGAGGGGACCATTCACAAGGACCCACAAAGCCAGCCTACTCAGGAGCACCAGCGCGGCCTCCTCTGTCTAGTTCCCTTGGATTCTGTAACTTGTGGGTCACACCGGGTATTAACATTAGGTCTCAGTCCTATTTAGAATGTACCTTTCGACTCCCTCCCTGCTCCCGGTGCTGGGTCCATGGGGGTCATGGTCTGGACTCTGTCCTCTCCAAGGCCCAGCTCCTCCTGGCTTTAGGGTGAGAGGAAGGAGGCTGAGCACCCATGTCTCCTCACCTAGCTGCCCTTGGGCAAGCACGGTGGGCTGGGGTTGCACGTGTAGGGCCCTCTGACCAGGCCTGCACTCTCCATGTGCCGGGACCCTGACCTCCTCCGTGCCTCCTGGGCTGCCTGCACAGACTGGGGGTTTGAGGGGTGGGGAAGAGGCCGAGAATGCGAGGCTCTCTCTTCTCTCAGTAAGCCTCGGGGTGGGGATGGGGTGGTCTTGGTGGCACTGACAGGGAGATGAGGGCATCTCGAAACACTCCCCAGATCCAGGCTTTGCTCTTGTCCTCCTGTGTTCTGGCTCTGCTGTGGGGGCCCTGGTGGCCCTGGCATGAAGGCCACCACTTGGAGACCCCTTTCCTGCTACTCCTGTCACCCCTTCAGCTCACACTGCTCTTCACTTTTTAGCACTGACAGGCCTGTGGGTGCTGCTTCAGGGAGGAGCTGCTGGAGCACCCGCAAGGGATGACCGAGAGAGTGTCACGAAGGGGCTTCCGAGAATGGGCAGGATGAGGGAGACAACGGGGGTGCTATTCCACCCACTTCTCTTCCTGCCCACCCCCATGTCCTGGAAGCCAGAGGTCAGGGGCACCTGCTTGCAACTGTGCTGGGAGGTGGGAGGGAGGCGGAAGCTGGTGGCAGTGGGACCTGCAAGGAGAGAGCTTGTCCCAGCCCTGCCTGCTTGGGCCTGGCTCCTGACTCCTGATCTCCTGGAGGCACTGACTGAGGGTGAGTGGGGCTGCATCTGTCCCACAGGGGCTTCTGTAAATGCTCACGGCCTCAGCAAGCTGGCAGAGGCTCTTAGCCCAGGGGCCTCCTGGGAGCCAACCAGCCTCGCCCTTCCTGGGCTGCTTGAAGCCTCTTGCCAGGGCCACCCTGGCTGGTCAGGCAGAGCCCCTGGACCTTGCCCACCTGATGGCTCTGTGTCCTGTGTCCTGGCCCCCCCCCAGGCCTGCACTACCACCATGTTTCAGTGTGTGCACTTCTGGGGCTGGAAGTCCCTGGAGAGCCCCGCGGGCCGAAGTGACACCAGTGCTGACGACGAGATGACCGTGTTCCAGACGAAGATGTGCTCCGTGCTGGTGAGAAAGCTGAAGGGGGCTGGACCATCCGGTGGCCATGTGCTGGCTTGGAGCTCTGGGTCCACCTGCAACGGACTCCCCGTGACCCGTGAGCACCTTCTGGGCAATGCTGAGACCAGCGCTGTTCAACAGGAGCAGACGGCGAGCCATGCCAGCCTTAGTGTTTTCTAGTAGCCATCTTCAGAAAGTGGGAAGTGGGAAACAAATGATTGTTCTCAGTTTGCAGTGGGGTATGTGTTCTTGTCAGGGAGACAGAGGAAGTGAGAAAGTACCCCCTGGGGGGATAGTCATGTCACGATCCCTTCTCCTCCATTCCTCTCCTGGGATTTCAAGCATGCATGCACAGATGCCCGGTGTTTTCCAAACTGCTAGGTCTGGGATTCGAACCGTGCAGTCGGCCATGTGTGTGCGATCCAGCTGCTTTAACCACCATGCCACCTGGCTGGCCCAAAACAAATTTCAGTAATAGATTTTGTCTAATGAATATAACCAAAACATGATCATTCAGCATGTAGTAAATATAGAAATTACTATAGTGATATTTCATGTTTTTGTAGAACCTTTAGAAGCTAGGCGGAAGCCCTTTGTGCTGGATTCAGACCAGCCACAGCTCAAGTGCCAGGACCACTGTGGCCAGGGGCTACTGTAGTGGGCAGCCGAGGTCCTGGACAAATGGCACAGCCCCTCTAGAGTCAGGCAGTGTGACAGCGGCTGGAGACCCTTCACTCGCCAGCTGCTCATCTGCTGTGTGATGCTGGAGGGCACCTGCCCTCTCTGGGCAGCCCGTCTCAATTGTGGGAGGCGCCCAGACAGATGGGAACACTCTGTGACTAGCCCATCTCCAAGGTTTCAGCTCCAAGGCTCTGTGTGTCACCAATTTTTTTGCAGACTCAGAAAAAGCCTGCAGTTCTCTACAGCTTCTTGTTGGAAACCATGAGCTACATTAAAAATAACCTGTCAAGGATCAGGATTGCTGCCTGCAACTTGGCAGGTAAGCAGACAGACATCTGCTTCAGGACAGCAGGACAGACCTTGAAGGCCATCTGGTCAACCAGGCATGGTGGGAGCGAGATGGGGACATGGGCAGTGGAGTTGGGCCCAGAGCTCAGGTCTAGCTTCCACGCTGTAGCCACTCCCCCACCACACTCCGACCTGCGGGACTTGGAAGTGGGCGCCTCCCCTGCCCACTGTGGTCCCATGGAATCTTTGCTCAGTGTCTTTGTGAGGGAAAATCAAGTCTCCTGGAGGGAGGGTGGCAGGATGCATGCCTGCCGACTCGACCCTCGGGCAGTGAGCACTTCTTGAACTCTCGTTTTAGGAATCATCATGAAGCAGATGTCTGCACATTATCTGGGAAAGCTGGACTTCCTGGCATTACGCAATTGTAAGTCGTGGAGACTCAGCAGTACTCTGAGCCCAGGGCTCCCGTACACTCACTCGGGGAGCTTCGTGGAACTGCTCCTGGGGGGGTCAGAAGATCCTTTGTTGTTTTGGTGGGAAGAAGGGTTTGTAACCAGTGCAGAGAGGCACACTGGGGTGAGATCTGGTAGGAGGCGTCCATCTCGTTCCCGGGGCTGTTCTCTGGCTCCTGATACCTTGTCGATCTGCACAGCAACCAGGTATGTGGGTGATCGTTCTGTCCTGGTTAGTGGCTGCTGAAGTCCCAGAGCTGGGACGGATGTGAGAACACAGCTCCGCGCAGGAGGTCCCGAGCCCCCCACCCCTGCCCACCTGCCGTTGGCACATGCAAAGTGTGGGCCCGCCGGGGAGGGCCCGACTCCTCTCTTTGCCTGCTCAGCTCTGCAGGAGCTACAGCTGGACTCGGATCCCGGTGTCAGGAGGGCGGCCCTGGAGACTCTCAGAGTCTTGGACAGCTGTAGTCAGCACCGGCTCACCGCTTTACCCGACGGGGCGCCCTAGGAGGCCAGGTGCACGCTGCAGCCCAGCAGGGAGAGCGCGCTCATGCCGTTTGTAAAGAAATGTAATAATCAGTATCGTTTTCCTCCTCCCACTGGAATAAAGCTCTATTGACACTTAGAGTGTGGACACCTGACTCTAAGGGGGGCACTCTGGAACCAAGACAATGGGCAAAGGGCAATTTGGCTCTCACGGCCATTTTACTCCTGCCCTTCCAGAGCCTGCCAGGCAGCCCCTTGGCCCAGAGGCTCTAAGACCACCTGTGCCTTCACTTGCATTTCGGGTCCACACCTGGGACGGTGTGCCTTCTACTGGGCACTGTCGGGCAGAGGGGTGGCCCATCTATCATCCCGATTCTTCCCCCAGGGGCCCAATTCTTTCTTCTCTCTTTTCTTTTCTTTTCTTTTCTTTTTTTTTTTTTTAAAGAGATTTTTACCTTAGAGACTGTGTGCTCACAGAGAGGCAGAGACAGTAAGAGGGAAAGTGAGAAATCGCCCCTTGCGGGGGATGGCCATGACACAATCCCTTCCCCATTTTCTTGGGATCTTAGGCACACATGCACATGAGCCCAGCATGAGTTTCAAGCCACCAGGTCTGGGACTCAAACCGTGGTGGGCCACGTGGGAGACCAGTGATGTAACCGCTATGCCATCTGCTGGCCCTAGGAGCCCAATTCTTACAAAGTTGGATGTCCACCCAGCTGAGCAAGCCACACATCAGAAATAGCAGGGCTACAGCCAAGGTTTTGGAGTGGGGGAGGAGGTCCATCAGCCTGGAGGCAACCCAGGAAGGCCTCATGAAAGAGATAACATTTCTTTTTCTTTTCTTTTTTTTTTTAATACTGGAGGGCATGTACTCACGAGAACTGTGTGTGTGTGAGAGAGTCCCCAGTGGGACATGGTCGTGCCACAATCCCTGCTCCATTTCTCCATCCTGTTGGGAGTTTGGGCACATACACACACACACACAGTATTTTTTTTTTTTTTCCCCAAGCAACCAAGGCTGACATTTGAACCACGCGCATGACTGGCCATGTGGGCTTTGGCTCCTTTAACTACCACGCTATGAGGCCTGCCTAGGAAGGGCCTCACCCTCACCCTCGCCCTCACCTTTCCCATCAAGGCTTGTTACCAAAGCAGTTTGCACTGCTAGAACTGGTGCTGAGGGGCCTGGAGCAGAATTTGGCTGAGGGCGAAGAAGAAATTGGAAAAAATGTTCAGGAAACACGGAGCGGGTAAAGGGGAGACAGGTAAGGACATTTCCTATACTCAGGCCATCAACAGAATCATCTCGTCACGTCAGATCGATGGCCTAGTGGTTAAGGTGGCTGGATCCTACATGGCTGACCACATGGTTCAAGTCCCAGACTCAGAGGCTGGAGAAACATACTGGGTGTGTGTGCACATGTGCCCCACATCCCAACAGGAGGGAGAGTCGGAGAAGGGATCGTGGTGTGACCATCTCCCATGGAGGGAGGGCACTTCCTCCCTCTCCTGTCTCTCTGGAGCATGCACGTGCTCTCCAGTGAATCATCTCATTGTCCCGGGACTTCTAAACTGTCCCACTATAGCTGCTGAGGGCAGTCACAAATTGGGGCCCCACTGAGAGAGTGGCTGACCAGTCTAATGACTCAGTCTCATGCCAAAGGCTTCTCTAGAATGGTGGTTTCCAAACTGTTTTATGGCTTCCATGGAAAAAAATACGGAAGCTCTTTTCCGCCTAGTGGTGGCGTGTTTGCTAAGAAAGCTTGAGCCCCAGGGTATGGTCAGAAATGGACATGCCACTCAGCACACGCACTGGGGCAGCTGCATTTCGGCAGTTCATCTCCTGTCTGTACAGAGAACATTCCCAGAGGGGTCACACATCTGAGTGAAAGGCAAATTTCAAGACAGTGTAATATTTGTGATCCTGAGAGCAGAGTAGGTTTTCTTTAACAGCAGAAGCCAGGAAGAAGAAAGGATTCTATCTATGTTAAAATGCGATTTCTGTGTAACAAAATACCATAAAGCTAAATGACAAGTCATTGATGGGAGAAGTGCCGCTGCAAGAGACCACACAGGGCTTGGCCCCTCAATCTGTCACGTGAGGCCCTTTGTGAGCCACTAGAACTGGCAGGACTGTGGGATCGATCTCCGTTGTGTGAGCCACCCCCCCAGTCTCTGAACTTTGCTTTGGCAGCCGGAGCTGACCCAGGCACACAGGTAAAGTGGCTTGGCACCAAGTATTTCATTAGAGTGACTACAATACAGCTCTAGTGACAGTCACGAGCCATCATGGCTGCCCTGTGGCTGCAGGAGCATTTGGGGAGCCTTACAGGACTGTTTACATAGAACTTTCTCATCTAAAATCATTTAGTTGCAAGTTACCTCTTACAGGCGAATATTCATCTCGACTTGCAGTCTCCTAATACGAGATTTCTGTCAAAGATCACTGTACCCAGGGCTTAAATTTAGATTTCATAAGCAAATGGTATTCTCTAGTGAAACAGGAAATGCAAGGGAGGATTTTCTGGACATTGCTAAATCTAAAAAAGGAAACACAAGAAAAGAAGGCCTACAGTGGATAGCATTAAAATTTCAAATTGAGCAACTTTATTCATGTAATCTTTATACCAGCACCTGAGTCAACGCTAACGGAGCCAGTGTCATTGAAATTTGCTTTCAGATAAGTCCACGAAGTTCTCACATTTTCTTGTTAATTAAAAAAGGAGGCCCCCTCACTCCCCTGGAAAAATAGACAGCAAAGGGGAAGAGACTACGCTACAAAAGAACCTGGCGATAGGTTTTCAGCTCTAGTTTTTCTAACAAAAATCATTTTTCTTGGCCAGCCCTGTAGCTTAGTGATTAAGGAGAAGTGACCATAGTTTAAAATCTTCGTCCTGGTGGCTTTGGAAATGCAGTGTGTGTGTGTGTGTGTGTGTGTGTGTGTGTTTCTGTGTATGGACAGGATGCAAAAATGGAGAAGAAATTGAAGCAGGACCACGCCCCATTGGGTGGTGCTTTCTCCTTTTCCCTCTTTCCGTGTCTCCCTGGTGAATGCGCACACCCTCTGGCGACTGAAAAAAAAGAAAAAAATCACTTCTCTCTTCAGTCTTGAAATATATATTCTTCTTTTCTCTAGGAAAAAAGACAAAGAAAATGATTTCAGTAAAATTCCACTAGAACTCCTTATGTCAGCCACGAAATGATTGAAATTACTTTCTATTTATTCCATTGCATATATAAATATCCCTAATCTGAAAACCTGAAATGCTCGAAAATCTAGAAGAAACTTTTGAGCACTGACAGGATGCCTCAGTGGAAAATTCCACACTCAGCCTCACGGGACAAGTCGCAGTCAAAATGTTCGAATATCAAATATCGTCTGAAATGACCTTCAGGCTCTGTATAGAGGGTGTAAGTGGGACAGGAGCCAATTCTGTGCTTAGTCTTAGGTTCATCCCTGAGATGTCCCAAACATTCCAAAATCCAACAGAAATTCCAAACACTTATGGTCCTGAGTATTTCAGATAAGAGATGCTATGTGTCCGACACAGAAGATGCTGCTACGTTAAATAAATATCTTAAGAAATGTTAAAGGGGAAAAAAGAAGGGACGGCAACACCCACGCAGGGAGCTTACCCTGGTGATAAGGCCACAGCTTCGCAGTTGGTACGATTTGGGAGCTGTAGGACTGAAGCTGTTTCCTTATTTATAAAGTAGGAGACAGAAGTGTCTCTATCCAAAGGGCTCGCAGGGGGATTTTAAGTAAGAAACAGGTTAAGAACAGGTGCGCATGGCTTGGCACCAAAAAGCACTCAGATGTGCCACCCCCAGGGACCAAGACGTTGCTCAAAATACGTGACCTAGCACTGTGGCCAAGGGAAGGCCCTTTAGGCTGAGCAAGTGGGGAAGGGAGGACAGACTTTGCACCCGACACCAAGGAGGCAGGAGCCACCTGGGGAAAGGGCAGATGCCCAGGCCGAGGAGGGACGGGCAGGAGAGCGACTGGGAACTGCAGGACTGAGGGGCCCAGAGTCGCCAGTGGCTGGGGAGGTGGGAGCGAGTCAAGGGAACCAGGTGGGGAAGGCACGGAGATCACTGGCAGAGCTGAGGTCAGGCCTGGAGGCAGCCCTGGCCCCTCACATGTGAGTCTACACTGCCGGCTCTCTGCGGACCAACTCCTACTCTGTTTCTACTGGGAAAGCTGCAGGTAGACAGAGTCGTTACGTTCAGATCAGTTTCTTCCTACGACACCTGCTTTCCGAGTGTAAGACGAAGAGACGGGCAATGAGTTAGACAAGCACAGCAAGGGAGGGTATTTAGGAAACAACCCTAAGTGCATTCCAGCGGAACACGTGCAAATTGGACATACTCCAGAATATTCCTCTGAGAGCATTTTCAGCCCCACCTTGATGCATCTCAGATATGAACATGTTCTTGATAAAAACATGGAAGAAGGAAAAGAATTTGGGAGAAGGCCTAAAAAACGAGCACTCATGTAAGAATCCTGTCGGGATTCACCAAGGTGGCACTCTGGCCGTGCCCATGCAAAGCCTCTATCCACAGCGCACTCAGAGAACGCTCAGACACCAGGCAGTCACGCACCTCCTGCTCCTCCGGGCCGGGCCCTGCAGGGCTGGCCTCCGATCCTGGTCTGTGGCTGGTTCTGCTCATCCCATCTGAGGAATGCCAGGCTCCAACCTGGAGCCCACACACCTGGGGGTCTGATAGCCTGCATCTTTTGGCAAGGGATGGATGGTCCCTCCTGGTGGCGTAAGCAGTGTGCGGCAACAGATGAACACCTACTGCAGTAGGGCGTGCTGGACTTTTTAAGAGCCACTGGGGTGACAGTGGTGCCTTCTGCAAACCCTGGGAGCGAGAGCCTGGAGCAACTCTTCCTGAGGAAGCTTCTGTCTGACGCCGACCCTCTGCACTTGCCTCACCAGGAGACACTGGGCTGCACACGGGCGCCTTCGTGCGCTGAGGCGATTTCTGGCAATACTTTTGATGAAGCTTGTCAAATTTTTCTTTAATTTCATCATAACGATTCCTTCCACAGACTAGAGGTTCTATCCCTGGTGCTGGAATAGCTCTGGGCGATCCTGATTTTCTAATTATTCCAGAACTGTCTCCTTGAAAAACGTCAGCTGTCTGCTGAGAGCACCCTGGGCTCTGAGTGGAGTCAGTCTTTGAAAGTGATGAAGACGACACGCCCCCTGGCAGCCATCTACCCACCTCGAGAGGTTGTGTGCCCAGATTTTCACAAGTCTCATTTAGCCTTTCTGCCTTTGCGTTACTGAAAGGTAAACTCAGCCTGCAAGTTTTAGAGCTCCGGGGGCCAGTCGGGCCCGCAGGACCACCTTTGTACAAATCCAGGGCCCAGGAGTCCAGGCCAGCCGGATGGGGCCGTTTCTTGGGACTTAGGCAATATTCCTGATGAAGTTTATCAAATCTGAGTCTGATTTCCCTGTAACGACTCTCTGGATGGCTCTGTAGTATTCCTGGTCTGGAGACAATCTTTACAGGCGAAATTAACCATTTTAACGACCGCAGTCCATTTTCCCAGTCAAGATTTTGCATTATTGTGTTGGAGCCTAAATAAGCTGATGAAGAATACTTCCTGGGCATCACCTGAAGCTCCCTCCCACTTGAATCTAACTTAGGGGTTTGGGGTTTGTGGGCTTCAGGAAGAGCTTTGGCTAATATCATATGGCAAGAGACACCCTGCAAGTTCTTGCAATCTCCTGACGCTCCCATCTCTGCCCCAGACTCAGTACACTTCCAGTGGAGGAGTGTCTCCCTGGAACTCCTGTGAGGACGCCTGCTGTCCTTGCAGTACGTCCTGTCCATCCTGCTCTTGCACCTGAGCCTCCTCCTGGGCTTCCAGGTCCGGATGGACGTCTTGGTGGAGATGATGCCCGCTGGCTTCAAGCTCAGCAGCCGGCTCATGGAGTGCAGCATCCCCTCGTACAAGTCGCTGATCGTCACGTTGCAAATGTCTTCGGTCTCACAGCACTGGCTGCTGAAGAAGCTGCTAGTACTGGTCCCTTGTAACGAGAAGCTGTCATCTGTAGGTAACATGGCCATGTCTGTCGAGCAAGGATGTGGAGGATCCCATTCTCTGGGCGGTGAGGCTGGCTTTGTTGGGCGATCAAAACCATTGTTCCCAGAGACAATGCAGCAGTATTCTGAGAAAAAGCCACAGAGGAAAGGTGTGTTACCATTCAGAGCCACCCTGGATGAGGAGCGTGGAGCTTTAGACGGGCCCACGACCAGTTCTTAAACAACACAAAAACAGAAATAAGAAGACCACAATATTTAGGAACGGATTTATCCTGGGGATTCTCTTTAGGTTCTAAAGTGAGATTTACATGTCTAACCTACCTCTCCAGAGTCTTCCTTACCCTCGGTGGGCCTTTTCCAAAGGTCACTGGAAACCCTGTGTACCTGAAGGGTGAGTGCAGGACGGGGTGGGGCTCCCGACACACACACCTCTTCAAAGGGCTTTGATGTTTGTGTCTTGCTAAATATTTTATGTATTTTAAAAAATAAAATGAATCCAATAAGGATGGGGAAAAGCTTTAGGGAAAGCTAAAAACACACAGAATCAAACAAACTTGTGTGTCACGACCGGTAACTGACAGGGAAAAAAAATCCAGTAACTCTGAACGCATGCTCTGACACTCCTTTAGTGTCTAAGGATAAAAACAAACTGCTAGCAATCTGACACTTTATTTGGTAGATTGTTAAGAAGAGTGGGAACAGGGGCCACCATTCTGGGGTCATTTGTGTTGTGCTGGAGGAGACCATGACAACCAGGAGGGAGAAGAGACAAATATGGATCGGAGGTCAGAGATGAGGGGGTTCTCAAAGACTGATGGAGATGGGTCAAAGGCCAGAGTCAGCCTGAGAGGGCCTCCTACAGTTGGAATCTGGGGTTACTCAGGCTTCAAATTGAATATACATGGATTATAGTGTGAATCAAAAAGGAAAAAGGCTGAGTTCCTATTGGTTCAAAAAATGTAAAATAGAAGGGGGAACTGAAGGTGAGACAGCTCTCTGTGCAGCATGCTAACTGGGGTGGGATGAAGATGGCAGAGCCGGAAAAGGTCTGGGCGATCACCGCTGGACACCCAAATTGCAGGTGAGAGGGTGTTGGGGGAAGGGCTCTCCCTGATCTCAAAGGATCAGCCACAGGTGGCTCAGAGGCAGAAGACCTGGCTGCAGTGAGAAACGGGGTGGGTCCCACCTTCGCTGAAAGACCAGGCTCAGAAGTCACCAACAAAGGAACACACTGATGGGATGTCCAGCAAGACACAAGGTCCCCATGTAGCATCTTTGCTAAAAATGTCTAACTTGTGGGAACTGGACGCCCATGTAGTTTACTGCAGTTCGAGTCCCGGACCCGGTGGCTTAAACTCACGCCAGGCGTGGGTGTGTGCATGCCCATCCTGGGAGAATGGAGAAGGGATCATGGCACGGCCATCCCCCAGGGGGGTGATTTTTTGCTGTCTCTCTGTCTCTCTCTGTCCTTCTGGCGAGTGCACATGCCCTATGGCAAAAACCTCTCAAAAAAAAAAAAAAAAAAAAAAAAAAAGAAAAAAAAAAAAAAAAAAAAAAAAAAAAAAGGAAAAAATTTAAAAAATAATAATAATAAAAAGGTTAACTAGAATCCAGACACCAATCACGAAGATGCAATCAGACAAGTCCTAGTGAGGGCCATTCTGTTCAAGTGCCGGCCTGGACCATTCAGGAAAGATGACCTCGACGGCAACAGGAGGGCCAGGAAGGTGCTTTGCACCAAGGGAGATACATGCAACGGGGGGATGCCCCAGGGGTCCCGACCTGGCTCAGCTGACAGCAAGGGCTGTGGGGCCCTGCAGCACGGCTGTCCGTGCAAAACTCCTGGCGTGTGCTAAGCTGACTGCAGTCGTGGAGGACAACATTGCTCTCGGGATCCACGGGAAAGAAGCATTTAGGCAAAACCGATACACACAGGCTGTGCGTGCTTGTGCCTGCGGCTGGCAGGGGATAAGCAAACGGGGCACAGTGCTGATCGTGAGCCACAGGGGAGGCTGGTCCGTGTCTCCCACTGCCCAGCAAAACAAATGGTGGTGTGCCCGGGGTGCGGGGGACTGAGTTGGAGGGACGTGCATGGTTCATGCAACGTTTCTGCATCGCTCACCGGGGGCAGGTGTGGCGGGTGAAGCCAACAAAGGGTCCAGGGACAGGCACGTGTCCTCTCCGTCTTCCTCATGCTGAAATCCAAGCCAATAATTACAATGTTGTCAGCAGGACCTGGGAGCCGCCCAGTCACCACTGGCCAGCCAGAACTCCCTCCCCTGGGAGGGCCGGTGGCTTTCCTTTGCCCACTGTCACAATCCAATGACAAGAAACCCAAGGGCCAGGTGGAAAGAGGGAAAAGACCCAACCGTGGGGTGAAAGGCTGTTGGGGGGAAGGCTCCCTCCATCTCAAGATCAGCCGCGGGGGATTCGGCGGCAGAAGGCCCGGTCTCCGCGACATCACAGCCAAGACACCACCACTGGCTGCTTAGGGTAAGGCGAATGGGTGTGAGAGCATCCACAGACACGGTGGTCCTTGGGCGCAGGCTCTCCCAGGTCAGCAGCACCGAAGGATTTACTTTCCTCTGCGGGTCTGCTGACCTGTTTGAGAGACGGCTGCCCTATGTCCTGCTGTGTACAAAATTTGGTATTAAAATGCCCTTTTATTTAATAGATCTAGAAAGAACTCAGAAAACCAAAGAGCCGCTTCCTTGTGGGACCTTTACCTTCAGCCTTTTTGCTCGGCAGGCACAGCTCCAACAGGTGGCTGTAGAGGGACAGATGGCGTCCACCGTGGGAGCAGGGGCAGCGAGGCCGCTCACTCTCACCACCCGGGTAGCCAGCACAAACTCCCTGCAGCCCCATCATGCCTCGCCCTAGTCTGACCTCGGAGCAGGTGGAGCAGGCCGGGTTGAGGGCTGGCGGCCCTGTGTAGCTGCCGAGCCCAGCCCTGGTACCCTGGTGACCCCGGGAAGGCCAGCGCTAATGCTACCCTAATTATAGCTGAGAATCTTGCCCAGGGGCCGGGGTGCCCTCGGGGGCACATTGTGCTAGGCGCCCGCCTCCACCATCTCCCTCACGGCACTGCCCTGCGCACCCGAGTGCTTATTTAAGAGGATCGAGAGTAGCTCATGTGCATTAAATGGTTTGCAAATTAATGACTTGAAAGCTTCTTGATGATAGGCTATTGAGGGAACAAACAAAAAATATGACTACCTCAACACGTCTTTAGTTTAGGATTCAATTATATACAGCTATACACTGGCAAGTCAGCAGGTGGCATGGTGGTTAAGGTGCTGGATCCCAAATGGCCAACCCCGTGGTCCAAGTCCTGGACCTGGTGGCTTGAAAAGCATGCTGGGTACATATCTGTGTGCCCTGAATCCCGAGAGAAGGGACTGTGAGGCATGGCCATCCCCCAGGGAGTGATCTCTCTCTCTCTCTGCCTCTCTCCAGCAAGCATGTGCACCCTATGGCAAAAATCTAAAAACCCAGACCAAGCCTATATGCTGAGAAACGTTACCTGAGGACATGGTCTGTCCTGCAGCAGCACATCCACCTGGGTTAAGTACTTCCTTCTTAATTCATTTTCCAAAGGACTTTGAGGCACTGCAGGCTGATCACAAAGAAAAGTCGATATTCTTACATGCTTTTGGGTGCAGTCGGGACAGCCTGGCAAACTCATCAACATATCAATCTTTAAATAAAGTGTGAGATGTCACTTTTTCACCCTCTGTTGTTTACACACATGGTCCAAACCTTCTGAACAATCCCGACCCAGTCCTGACGTTAAGGGATTTGTCAGCGTTAACAATCCCAAAGAAAGAAAGACAACCCCCCGCCCTCCACAAAACAAAAACACCCCTTCACCAAAACCCCACCAAACCTGGAGGGGTTTGTGGCTGCACTGCTGGAGCAGAGCTGCCTCAGGACCTCAGGGAAGAAGTCAGACCCAAGGGCTGGCAGCTGCCAAAACCATCCTCAGAGCAGCCTGCCAGAGGGGCAGTGCTGCCGCCCAGGTGATCCTCACCAGCTGAGGCTGTGCCCTGACTCCTGGGCCCTGACCCTGACCACTTACTGCTAAGACCCCAGCAACCGGATCCTCCTGGTAGATTGCGACGCCGATGTCCCTGCTGGATTCTGAAAATAAGAAAAGACATCTCCATCCGAAGTTTTAGGAAAACTGGTAATTTCCTCTCCCCCATGTTCTATACACAGGAAACACCCCCACTGTTCCAGGAGTGCTCCCCGAGGAAGAGCACAGCCGCTACCAAGGGAGAGACACAGAACGGTAGCTGCCCCCATGGGGGCTTTTTTTTTTTTTTTTTTGTAGAGTTTTTT